GTGTGGATAGACGGATGGATGTGTGGATAGACGGATGGATGTGTGGATAGACGGATGGATGTGTGGATAGATGGATGGATGGATAGACGGATGAATGGATAGATGGATGTGTGGATGTATAAATGGATCAAGGGGTGGACAGGATGGATGGGATTTTTGCCATCGTCCATCGACAGGCATATAACATATCTAAACAAAGATTCATGTCTCAATGCCTTGACATCCTTTACCAGCAACAGTTTTCATAACCAGATGCTACTTCTAATCCCCAAACACTGTACAGTAAACTGACGCTGTGAGGTGAAGTCTGACCTGTGATGGTGTTGTAATGGTAGGAAGCGTGGGTGAAGGCTTGCAGAAGGTAAGCCTTGTTCTGAAAGGTGTAGTTGATCTTTCTTTCGAAGTTCTCGAAGCCGGAGATGAGGTGGTTGAGAGTTCGCTCTGCATCTGGATGGTCCAGCAGGCATCGGGGCGGGATCTTCAGCCAGCCGTAGCACAGGTCGATGGCGGTGATCTGACAGCTCTGCCCCACTGTTCCAGTCTGGGTCCCTCTCTCCAACGGTAACACCTGATGTCATCGAAAAACAACTCTTAATACCTGTGTGACAGCTGTGAAACTTCCTACACAAAGATGTCAAGTCATGTTGGAGAGTTTCCACTCCAGTCATATAAAATGCCTGCTCTCTCATGAACTAGCCCCCACTCTAGTAGAAAGTACCACTGCTGAATCATGAAGTACATGTTTACCTTGAGGCCTAGTGAGCAGAGGAACATCTGGGCTGCTCTCTCTCCACAGCTGGTCAAGTAGCAGCCCAGCAGAGCCTCCACACAGTCAGCAATGCTCTTGTCGGCGATGCACTGCTCCGTGTGCAGGTCGTAGGAGATCGACTGCTTGCCGAGCTCTGCGCCGCAGTTCTCCTCAGACGGGTTCCAAAAGCCCACCACGAAGTCGTCCTCCTCCCCGGCCTTACTGGGGTCCAGGTAGCACATGGCGTCCCACGAGCTGTAGTCGAACTCCTCTGCGGTGGGCGCGCTGGGCGCCGGCTCCGAGGGGTAGTGGGCTGCGGTGGTGTGGTGGGGCTTCTTGGGGGGCTTCCACTCGTACGGAGACTCCGTGGCGGGGGAGGAGCTTGAGGTCGGGGCGAGAGGGGGAGGGAAGCCACTCAGCGAGATCTTCTTACCGAACGCACCAGATCCCAACAGCATGTTGTCGATGAACTTGATGTGCTCCTTGTAGTACTCCAGATCGTCCTCCATGTTGACTTCGTCCTTTGGCTCGTCCTTCAGCATCAGCTCACTATCCTCGTCCACCTCCTCGCCTTCCTCGCCTTCCTCATCGTCCTCATCATCATCATTTTCAGGCTGCCCATTGCCCAGAAGCTCCTCTTTGGCCTGGATGATGGATGCAATCATCATCGTTACAACGTTCATCCCTACACTTCATAAGGATACCAGTCAGTGTGCAAAATACCGTTGATTGACACTTCAGACCCCTGAAAGCCTAGACTGCTACATTTTGGGGGTGTCTATAATCATAATAATTATTTGTCACATGCAAATGTCACTAAAATGTCAAATGTCACTTTGAAAGCTTAACAATATCCAACAGTTTTCATCATTCAAACAGCAAAACATTTATTCACAATATGAATACTGAGTTCGAGAGACAATTTTCTACAGTAAATGACAAGGAGACGTTTGAAATATATTTGAAGTTGCTGCCGCAAGGAATTGTGGGGCGGCATTATCTTCTTTTCTTTCATAAAGGATGGTCCAGTGTATCCTTTGCTAAAGGAGATAAGAAAGGAAGCACTGGAGCACCTTTCCTTAGCAGTCAGAGAATTGGATCAGCTCTTATCACGGCTGCCACTTTGATACGTCCGGGTCATTTCACTCAGTTAGGAACCCTCCAGAACAACAAGGCCTTTTTGGCCGTAGTCATTGACTGTGTATGCAGTGAGTTATGATAAACTGAGATGTTGTATGTTTCTCTGAATTCTTCACCTGGAATTGTCTTTTAGTCACATTAAGCTGCCTTGTTGTACCAAGAGCTACATTGAGATATTATAATCATCATCATCTTAGTGTAATAGCACTACATGTTGTTTTTACATTTATTATAATATATTATAGTCTAGACTCAAACATGTGCTGCCTGACAAGGTGAAAGCCTGCCCTCTAGTGGGCTGAACACATAACACTGACAAGATCCATGACAGAAATCAATGCATGAACGTGCTACATTTGTGAGTCACTAAGCACAAGCATTCTCTTACACACACACACTGCTAATTCTTATTTCCTCCCTCTGCAGTGCAGTATAAAGTGGAGAAGAAGCATGAAAGCCACTAACCTCCTCCGAGTCCAGTTTGTCTGTGCTGCTCTTGTCCTGGTTGACCACGTAGCCAGGAGGCAGCCAGTTCACGGGGGGGTCGAAGATGGACACCACCATCCTGCTGGGGAGCCCCTTCTTCTTCCCCAGACGGTACAGGTTACAGTTACTCACCTAGAGGAGAGGGTTAGAGGATGAGTCGAGACCTGTGCACGCCATCGTCAATAACTTCATCACATCGAATGTGATTGGTTCCTGGATATTTAGTGAAACTAACGAGAAGAGCTGACCAATCAAAAGATGCACTGAGTATTAGTCTGCTTTCACCTGTAAATGGACTGTACTTGTATAGCGTTCAGTCCACTAGATGGTGCCGAGTTATTTTCTGGTGAGGTCAGCAAAGGTCCCGGGTCAGCGTGATTGGTAGGAAGTTGGTCAAAACAAAGATAGAGACATCTGGCCTCACAACGGGGTAAAATCTGCCAACAGTAGCCAGGCTCATGGGGAGAGTGCAGCGCATAACTGTCTCTCTGCCCTCGACGTCCACGCATCGCAAGTTATACTGAGTTATATAACTCTAATATCCTACTTATATAAGTTATAGTTCATATACTGAGTCCACACGTTTGCATTTAGTTAAGTTGGACTGTGTAGTAATACAAACAGTTCAGTTTGTCAGGTTCATGCAACATTTATGACATTGTTGGTCAGTCTGTCTGCTTGACAATCCTATTTTGCTGCAATGAAAATGATTAAAGTGAGATGAACAGACTGAAAACTTTATCTTATTAGATAAAACATGTTGACACAGTTTTCCTTTGGGGACATAATTTGAAGTTAAAAAAAGTAATGAATCGCAATATAGGCCTATGTTATCGCAATACTCAGAATATCGCAGTATCGTGATAATATCGTATCGCGGGACCTTTGGTGATTCCCACCCCTACACTACATGTCAACATTCACCCATTCATACACTGATGGGAGGAGCTACTATGTAAGGTGCTACCTGCCCATCAGGACTATCTAACATTCACACACCACAGGCACTGCTACGGGAGACAGTTGGGGTTAAGTGTCTTGCTCAAGGACACATCGACACGGACAAAGGATATTTGTCACTAATAATGGAAAAACATTCAATTGTCATTTTCATAAATCAACTAACTCCAATAAAGGGGAGGTGCTACTGGAAGGATAATAGTCAGTGCACAGCGGGTCAGCTGAACATGCAGAAAATGTCACACTTGTCCTTCAGCGTGTAGTTGTAAATTACAAGCAAGCATACACCCAAACAAGTAAGAAAGATAACGCTTCTGTAAATACGCAAATCTGTTTTTCTGGAGCTTTTAGCCAAAGAGTGAGGACTTCTAGAGTGGGAGGAGTTTGCTTCATTGCCATGGTTTCAGCGTGATCATGTGAGCTAAGAAGGAAATCTCCATGACAAATGAGCAAACTTCCGCTGATGAAGGCCTCAAAATAAGGGTGAAAGCTCCTGAAAAACAATGTAACAGTGTAAGAAATAGCAGCTTTAACTGGAATATATTTTTACATTTTTATTTTTTAAATTGTGTGCTATGTGTGCATGTTTTCCTAAACTGTTGCAATCAGCTACTGCGACACAACTTTAGCATTCACAGAAGCAATAAAATGTCTTCAAACTGTCAATTCACTTTTGATACTCTGTCGTCCTCATAATAAGTCATGAACTGTCTCACCTTCTTGCTGCGCATGTAGCTAAGCCGCCCCTCGTGAGCATCGGGGTAGGTGCAGAACAGGTACGTGGTGATGGCGTGCTTGAGGAAAGAGTCTCCGAGCATCTCCAGCCGCTCCAGGTTGAAGCCGTCGCTGGCGTTGGATAGGGTCAAGGCCTGCAGGATGAGGCCCGGGTTGGGCCCCAGGCTCTTGGGGGAGTCTCCGGTCTGGGCTTCGAGCTGGGGGACAGCGGTCGGATCAGGAGTAGGTGCTATGGAGGCGTCTGGACCCGTGGCCGCCTGGCTGCAGACTGAGGTAGCTTTATATGCGTGGTGTGAGGTCCTCCCCGGTGTACATTCATCACTAGGCTGCGGAGGACTGGAGCTGGGCTTCTTCGAGCCGTGAGAGGGCTGCACGGGAACTGAGGTAGTGGTTTGCATTGATTCAGGACTCTGCAGCCCAGGGGAGCGGGGCTGGGAGCGTTGGCAATTGTCATGTTGGTGAAGGTGCTCGTCGTGGTGGCCGTCGTCATCACAGTCGGCGAATAGGGCAGTGCCGTTGGTTAGGTTCCTCGTGCATGTGGCTGCTCCGGGCTCGGGGGCTGCTTGGGGCCCCTGCTCGGGCTGGGAAGAGGGGTGACTACTGGGCTGAGTGAGGGGATCGGGGTCAGGGCTCTCAGTCTCTTGGTGCGTACAGTGACCCTCGTCGTCCTCACTGCCGGAGTCAGGACAGGAGATGAACGTTTTGCTGTTGATGGATCTCTTCCAGCCAAAGTCCAGGTTTGGGTACCTGCCCACCCCACACACACACACACACACACACACACACACACACACACACACACACACACACACACACACACACACACACACACACCATCTATACATTAGGATGCTGGGAAACTGCTCAACAGGATAACAAAGAAAATGCAGAAAAAAAGTTTTTTTGTTCATTTATTTTTTTAAATGATTAACATTAAACGGCTTATTGGCCATAATTCTTACTTTAACAGATAAGGCAATCAAATACCGGCATATTGCCAATAAATAACTAAAATAAATAACTAAAATGTCTGTTATAAATGTAAAGTATTTCTGTAATGCTCCATCATAAGACTATACAGTGAATGTAGCAGGGCTTAAAACCTGTTAAGCCCGAGTGGCCCCCCGGGGGCTAGGGAGAAAGTTTAGCATACAGCGTGTCTAACAATGCACTTATCACAAAGGAATATAATGATGTTGCACATCAAATTAAACAACGGAACCTGGGCTACAAGAATATGTAAACCGTTTTTACATGATCCAAACACAACTCAAACACCAACTAAAAGAATTACCAAAATATCATATTCATATTTCGCCAGGAGTGAGCTCACCCAGCACATTTCAGGACCTAGCGATCGAAGCTACATGCCAGCAAACAAACCGAGATGACAAAAAGCAAGCAGATTCCACACATATTCGTAACATCTCTCTCCACAAAAGCATCACTGAGATATGAGCCAACGAACAGCAGCAACACAAAACGCTTTATCGCTTTACGGTCAGCAAATTCTTCTTACGAAGAAAAAGCATTTTTCCCCGCAAATCCACACTGATATCTGTTCAACGTATATCTTGTGTCTCACTCAAATCATTCCGGACGTTTAGTGGGGCCGTTCTGAGCAGGGGTGAGGATTTGACTTTCAGCATATCGGATCCTACGCTTCAAGATAGACGGCGCCTTGTTGATTCTGATTGGCTAACAGTGCTGTCGATCTCGTCCTCGTGGGTATAGCTCAATTCTATTGGCTCCAACGCTTCAAATGAGGTGTCAATCACTGAAATCGACCAATAGGTTGCTGAGATAGAGCCCTACGTACTCACAGGGGGCTGACATCGAGAAAAACTCCAGTACGCAGAGAGGACTCAGAGAGGACTCAGAGAGGACTCAGAGAGGACTCAGAGAGACACAGAGAGGACTCAGAGAGGACTCAGAGAGACACAGAGAGGACTCAGAGAGGACACAGAGAGGACACAGAGAGGACTCAGAGAGGACACAGAGAGGACACAGAGAGGACACAGAGAGGATTCAGAGAGACACAGAGAGGATTCAGAGAGACACAGAGAGGACTCAGAGAGGACTCAGAGAGACACAGAGGACTCAGAGAGACACAGATATGACACAGAGAGACACAGAGAGGATTCTGGCTTTCAAAATAAAGCCAACACTGCTGTATTTGGATGTATTGAACACCATTAGTGATATAAAAGTGAAATATATAGTTTGGTGCATGAGAAATTCAAATGGCACAGGTGGTGCCAAAATGACCATTTTGGAGACCTCGCCTGACCTCTCTGTACTAAAACCTCTCTAATTTTGTTCTGCTTCACTTTATCAAAGTCAGACTTTGCAGAGAGACTGTTCACATATTGTGCTATGATTTGGGAGAGGTTTAGACATTCAGCTGCATCATTCCAAAGAGATAATAATCCTGAAATTGCTTTTCTTTTTTAGGCGAACCTGAAACTTTTCAATTTGTGCTGTGTCCCATCTTCATTTACTCTTAACCAGTAGCATATATACTGATATTTACACGTCTGAACAAATCTCACAAGTGTTCCCTTTATTATAACACCAAACGTATTCACATAGACCTTGTGGTTCCAGAGATATACTCTTATTAGTATGGGTATGCAATTTTCGAGCAGAGGCCTAAAAAATAGGTTAACCTTTTTAAAAAAAGGTTAAGCACTTTAATTATATGCTTTAAAGTTGTGTCGTCTACGATTGAGTGGGCCCGCATATATGCAGCTGTGATAAAAAGATTCTCTAATCAGCACATTCTGGTAAAATTGAATATTAGAAGTGTATCCACATATATAACCGACTTCAGTTTAACTTTCGGCATACCATTTCACACAATTTGTGTACCATTGAGCTTCCTTACCCCGGCAAACCGAGGTAAACCAACTAGAATGCTACGACTCAGCAAAAAGCTGACAGCAACTGGTGTGCTGCAAAAACATGTTCCAGGTAAAACTCGCACTCCAGAACTTCTGTTCTGCTTGTGCGAGTAGTAGATATTAACAGCTGTTTGGGTCTCAGGGGGACCCAAACAGTTCAATTCAAATATAGGTACTGTTACACCCCTAGTATTTACCAATACACACCAGCGGCGACATCTCTTGATTCATTCTAACAGAGTAAGCAGGTGTCTTTCAGTACTACCAGCGTACTTCATGTGTTTCATCCTAACACTGTGGGAGATTATGCATAAATAACTTCTGTGCAATTGAACTGCAGTGTTACAGTAGAGTAATATAGTGTAAGGCCATTGTTCCATTCATTACGCAAAGTTCTGATTCAGCAAATGGAATAAGTGAACGTATCATTAGGAAGTCATATATGTGACGGAGACCTGAAGTCAGGGGGCAGGGTCCGGGCTCCCACTCCGGCTTCACTGGCTGTCTGGGCTCGGAGCTCCTCGGCGGTCAGAAGGCAGTGGAGGCGGTAGAGGATGCTGGGCAGACACACTGCTTTCCTCCACAGGGAGGCGGGGATGGGGTGGATGGCACACAGCTCTGGAACCAGGATCTGACAAGCACAACAGTAGTTTAGGGACTGTTGCAGGACAGACTGTATGGAAGGTGACGTGGCTGAAACTCATTTCTGTAGGTGGTCACACTCACACATACCCTTTTTCCACCAAGCGTAAATGTTTTTTTTAAAGTGGGGAAAACCCACTAAAAGTAGACGCGTATGCCTGACTTTACTTTTTCTTGTGTGTCACATTTTAAACGAAACAAACCACCGAGGTTTTTTTATCCGTTTAATACCCGTGGCTACTGCAGAGTCATTTGTCCCTGATGAATGCAGATTGCAACCTTTCCCACTGAAGACAAAAGCCCAGATGTTAGTGGCTGTTAGATTTGGTGTGTCTGAAGCCCCTTTCCCACTTGACTAAAAAACCCTAAGTTCATACAGGGACTGCATCTGCTTCTTTTCAGGTGATGACTAAACCAGATTTGTATCTGTGCAGTCATACATTACATGATTAAACCATATTTAATAGCTTCTACTGTTAAAAATGATGAAAACGGCTCAAAAACTAAATAAAAATCAACTTTTGAAATAAACCTGAATTATCTATAGTTTATGCCCATGTCTGTCCAAAAGGTCCTCGCTTCATCATTTCACGTACATACACGTGAACAACACATGTAACCATGGTAACTGAACACATCAAAGATGACGACATCTGCCTCAAAGTATTTAGGAGACATAAAAATCAAAAAAGCATGACGACAGGCAGGCTGATGAAAACTAGAATGCGTCTTCGGTGTTGCTGACAAATTTAAATCCCACTGATCAGTGAACACGGTGTGAGCGAGCGCTATATGGAGGGGTTTGTGTTGATTCAGGTGAAAATGTAGACCAGGAAGGTGTAACTAACAGATCCACGAATATCAAGGTTTATCAGACATCAAAACGCTGCACAGCGCTTTATTACACCCACAGAACTCTAAAAATCACTTTTACCCCTTCTATACAATTACAGTGTACACGCGGTGCGTTATTGGACTCACTGACATGAATGAGGGGGCTGTGTTTTCCAGCACAGTGCTGCCATCCTTGTGACCACCACAGAGGCACCGTTACCTGTTTGTTCTGCAGACTCTCCCACTTGGCCTTCCTCTTCTCTGCACTGCTGAGGGGCAGGGCTTTGCCCTTCTGGTTCAGGTGCCGAGGGGTTAACAGGTTCAGTCTGAGAGCACAAAGAAAACAAGCGCCTCGGCTTTAGGCCTGTCCCAACACAACACATGTACAACGTGCTGTCAGTACACTGGGGCTTTATGACAAATTTGGCTTTTGCTAATCATATAAGAGAAGACTCAGTTTCAAGGACTGACTCAAAGTATTGTGAAAACCTCCTATAACAGTGCAGATCCAGAGGGATTGAGTTATTTATTCCTTGCACTTGTCTCCCTTGTCAAAACCTGGCTTCTTAATTACCCACAATGCAACTGGCCTGCGAGGAGCTTGGTGGGAGATCCGGGTGTGGTTATGCTACTAGCCTGTAGCAGAGATGAGCAGCAGGCTACAAGGGTCTGGTTATATCACTTCTTTCTGACTCCAACCAATATTGACTTGAGTGACATCACTTGAGGACATTCATGAGATTTCACACAGTTCCCTCTGAGCACTTAAGGCTTTATACTACTTGAAAACCCTGTAAAACACAGGCTGATGTGTACAATTGGTGGAGTTCCATTGAACACATTGTAACATAGGGCAAGATATTGGAAAAAAAAAAATGAAATTGCAATGATTTTTTCTGCGATGTATATTGTGATCTCTATTGTGATATTGCGATGTATATTGTGATCTCCTCCGCGAATCGCCACCTTATCGTGGTGGAGGAGTTTGAGTGGCTCAGTGATCCTGGGAGCTATGTTGTCCGGGGCATTAGCCCCTGGTAGGGTCTCCCAAGGCAAACAGGTTTCAGGGGAGAGCCCAGACTAAGAGCGGTTCAAAACAACCCCTATGATAGTTAGCCCACGGACTACAGCCACCTCGCCCGGACCAGGGAAACCGGGGCACCCTCCCGGAGCCAGACCCAGGAGGGGAGCTCGTAGGCGAGCGTCTGGTGGCCGGGCCTTTGCCCATGGGGCCCGGTCGGGCTCAGCCCGAATAAACACCATGGAGCAGCCACCCTGTGGACCCACCACCCGCAGGGACAAGCATCGGGGTCGGGTGCTATGCAGACCGGGCGGTGGGTCGGGCGGGAGGCCCGGGCATGCCGATCGCCGGCAGCATAGACTAGCTCTAGGGACGTGGAACGTCACCTCGCTAGCGGAGAAAGAGCCGGAGCTGGTGCAGGAGGTGGAGCGATGCCAGCTAGAAATAGTTGGACTCACCTCCACACACAGCGTTGGCTTTGGAACCAAGCTCCTGGAGAGGGGTTGGACTTTGTCCTTTTCTGGAGTTGCCCAGGGTGAGAGGCGCCGGGCGGGAGTGGGGATACTCACGAGCCCCCGGCTGAGCGCCGCTGTGTTGGAGTTCTCCCCGGAGAGCGAGAGGGTCTCCTCCACGCGCCTACGGGTTGCGGGGAGCAAGGCTCTGACTGTGGTTTGTGCTGATGCACCAAACAGCAGTTCGGAGTATCTATTGTGGACGCGGCCGCTAGGAGCTGTGGCCGGAAGGTCATCGGTGCCTGTCGTGGCTGCAACCCGAGAACCCGGTGGTGGACACCGGAGGTGAGGGAAGCCGTCAAGCTGAAGAAGGAGACCTTCAAGGCCTGGTTGGCCCAGGGGTCTCCTGAAGCAGCTGACAGGTACCGGCAGGCCAGAAGGGCTGCAGCTGCGGTGGTCGCGAATGCTAAAACTCGGGCATGGGAGGAGTTCGGGGAGGCCATGGAGAAGGACTTTCGGTTGGCCTCAAGGAGGTTCTGGCAAACCATCCGACGGCTCAGGAAGGGAAAGCAGGGCTTACCCCAGGCTGTTCTCAGCAGGGGGGGGGGAACTGCTAACCCGGACGGAGGACATTGTCGGGCGGTGGAAAGAGCACTTTGAGGAACTCCTAAACCCGACCAACATGTCCTCTGCAGAGGAGGCAGCGCCTGAGGACCTAGGGGGAGGCTCACCCATATCCCTGGCAGAGGTCGCTGAGGTAGTTAAAAAGCTCCTTGATGGCAAGGCGCCGGGGGTGGATGAGGTCCGCCCTGAGATGCTGAAGGCGCTGGACATAGTTGGGCTGTCCTGGCTGACACGCCTCTTCAATGTCGCATGGGGGTCGGGATCAGTGCCCATGGAATGGCAGACCGGGGTGGTGGTTCCCATCTTCAAAAAGGGGGACCGGAGAGTGTGCTCGAATTACCGGGGTATCACACTACTCGGCCTCCCGGGGAAGGCTTATGCCAGGGTGCTGGAAAGGAGGCTCCGACCGCTTGTTGAACCTCAGATTCAAGAGGAGCAGTGCGGATTCCGTCCCGGCCGTGGAACAGTGGACCAGCTCTTTACCCTCGCAAGACTACTGGAGGGGTTCTGGGAGTTTGCCCAACCAGTCTACATGTGCTTTGTGGACTTGGAGAAGGCTTTCGACCGGGTCCCTCGGGGGGTCTTGTGGGGGATGCTGCGGGAGTATGGGGTGCCGGACCCTATACAACGGGCGATCCGGTCTCTGTACGACTGCAGTAGGAGCTGTGTCCACATTCTCGGCAATAAGTCAGACACGTTCCCGGTGGGTGTTGGCCTCCGCCAGGGCTGCCCTTTGTCACCGGTCCTGTTCGTGATTTTCATGGACAGGATATCTAGGCGCAGCCTGGGGGCGGAGAACGTCAGTCTCGGGGGTCTCGGGATCGCCTCTCTGCTATTTGCAGATGATGTGGTCCTGTTAGCCTCCTCGGATCGTGACCTCCAGCATGCACTGGGGCGGTTTGCAGCCGAGTGTGAAGCGGCGGGGATGAGAGTTAGCACCTCCAAATCTGAGGCCATGGTTCTCTGCCGGAAACCGGTGGATTGCTCCCTGCAGGTGGGGACGGAGTGCCTACCTCAAGCAAAGGAGTTCAAGTATCTCGGGGTCTTGTTCACGAGTGAGGGTAAGATGGAGCGGGAGATCGACAGACGGATCGGTGCGGCTGCAGCAGTAAAGCAGGCGCTGCACTGGACCGTCTTGGTGAAGAGGGAGCTGAGCCGGAAGGCAAAGCTCTCAATTTACCACTCGGTCTACGTTCCTACCCTCACCTATGGTCACGAACTCTGGGTCGTGACCGAAAGGACAAGGTCGCGGCTACAAGCGGCCGAAATGAGTTTCCTCCGTAGGGTGGCCGGGCTCAGCCTTAGAGATAGGGTAAGGTGCTCGGTCATCAGGAGGGAGCTTGGAGTAGAGCCGCTACTCCTTCGCGTCGAAAGGAGTCAGCTGAGGTGGTTCGGGCATCTAATTAGGATGCCTCCTGGACGCCTCCCACTGGAGGTTTTCCAGGCACATCCAACTGGGAAGAGACCCCGGGGAAGACCCAGAACACGCTGGAGAGATTACATCTCCCAGCTGGCCTGGGAACGCCTCGGGATCCCCCAGAATGAGCTGGAACATGTTGCCGGTGAGAGGGAGGTCTGGGTCAGCCTGCTTGACCTGCTGCCACCGCGACCTGACCCCGGATAAGCGGTGGAAAATGGATGGATGGATGGTATATTGTGATATGAAAGGAAAAAAAGAATTTTCACCCTACATTTTCTGGACTACATTTCAAATCTGATGAACTTTGCTTGTGCTCTAGTAAACAATATAATCATAAACGCATAGGTTATATCGATTTCAATGGTGATGCCGCGGCAAAAAAAGTCACACCCACAAGCCGCACAGGGCCGATGGGACCCCACCTGTTGAAGTGTAATTATATAAAAACATCCAAATGAACAGCGGTTTACAGCTATATCTAAGTGTCAGGATCCCGGTGCTGCTGACCTGGAGGAGGTGTGGTCTACGTCCAGAAGCGGCTGGTTCAGGTTGGACAGGTCCAGGTTGTACTTGGTTTTGTAGTACTCGGCAAACGTCTCGTACTCTGGCGAAGGAAACTTACTGAGCGGCGTCAGGTCTGTGTACACATCGGCAACGTAGAAGCGGTGAGGCTGGTCAAAGTTACGATACCTGGGAGGGAGGGAGAGTGAGGCAGTCATTATGTAGCTCAAACCAGTGACATCAGGAGCATTTATACAAGTAACCATGGTACCTTGGAATGATAACAGCATCCTGGTAGTCCTCCAGCTTGAAGGTGAAGGGGTTCTGCTTGGTGTACTGAGTGGTAGGAATGCCAGTGCGGGCCTCAGACTTCTCAATGTCCTCCATGAACATAAAGTCCATATCTAGAGTGTGGGAGTCCCCAACTGAAGGAGTCAAAGAAGCGGCCAGAGAGAGAGAGAGAGAGAGAGAGAGAGCGCGCACACACTGATAAGCATCTGCACACGCCAGGACAAAACTATCCACCGGGCTCGACCGAGAGCGATTCTACTCACCGACATTCAGAGGTAGAACGCAGTAAGCCGAGTCAGACAGTGTGGGCTTGAACTCCAGCGCCGGCTTCTCCAGGCGGAGGATGTGGGAGAAGATGTACTGGTGCAGGCGGGTGATGAGGTCGAGCTGAACGGTGGTGAGCGCAAAGCCAGACTTCTGCAGCTCGATGGAGATGGTCACCTCGCCCGAGCGGGTGTACACCGGAAAATGGGGGATCTGGACAGAAGGAAAGCACCACCCATAACCGATGATGAGAGGACGACACTGAAGACATTTCTTTCCTTGGATAAGTGAATAAAGGAGGTGAAAACATGTTAGTCTGGTCTGAAAGGTGTTAAAGGTGGCGTACTCGAGGTATGGGTTTGGCAGTCAGGATGCCGAAGCACCTGGTGGTGTCCTCCGGTGGGTAGAGCTTCCTCCTGCGGAAGTTGAGTTCATCAGGGAGAGGGGTGGTGAGGACCATCCCGATCACATATAGGTAGTAAGTCTGCTCTGGTACAGCGTAACTGTCCCGTAGACACTCTGGTATCTGAAGAGGACAAGAACAACAAATTATTCTAGAAGAGCATTCCTAATTGCTTGTTGTTCATTGACATGTACATCATTTGTTCTGCATCAGTAAAACAAGTATGCGCCCGAAAAAGTTTGCTTTGCGTGTGACCTCGTCATTACAGGTACACCAAAGCTAGGGACTCAACCTGCAGCGAGCGCGGGGGGGGCTTTAACCGGAGGATGGCTGTAACTTCTCCGCCTGTATTGCAGCACGGACTTGTGTCATTAAAGCAGCACAAGCACACACTGTCACACGTTTCTTCTAACTAAATTGTATGGAGAAGAGTCCATGAGTGCTGAATATTTGTACTCCTGGTGCTACCTCACTCAGTGTCTCCTCGTCCTCCTATGTGAGTAGACCTTCCTCAAAGTCTCCCCCTAAACGGCGGCGTTTTAAAACTGATGTCTCTGTGTATTACGAAACTGGTCTCTGGCATTGCTCGGCAGCAAGCCTGTGAGCAATGCATCCTGGGAGGCTTCTGCTCGGCCCTTTTTCTACTCCGACAAGCCACGGCGACAGCTGCTATGGGATGGCTCGTCTCCATGACATGACTCGGGAAGCAGTCACTCGGGATGTTATTGAGTGTGTGTTTGTCCCATTAAACAAACCATAGACATACATTGTATGTACATTGGCTTTGCTTTCAGGGAACTCGAGCTGTAACGGATGAGACTTTCTTACGGCTTTAGGGTAGCACTGTCTCCTCTTGGTGGAGCCGGGCCGGCCTGGTACGCTGGTCTCCTCCTCATCGTGGAGGTCCAGCTCCTCCTCATACTTCACCGTCTCCTTACCCACCGGCATCAGGTGATCATCCAGCTCACCTGGGAGGAAGAGAACAAGAATAACAAGGTCAGACATATGCAGGAGAACGTTCTATGGTGGTTGACAGGGAATATTTTTTACTACTCATACATCTGCAACATTTCATTTGAGGTTTTACCTATTTTGTGTAGTTTCTCGCAACATAGTAGTGCGACTGCTTTCTCTGCCAGTCTGGCACAGATCATTGTCGGACCCTGTAAAGACAGTGGCACGGTAATAAGTGTCTGGATTATACACTGTATTAGTGTATTCTGACAAAATCACTCAAGTGTTGAACAGTCAGGGCTCGCCTGCTTTAGGACGTGACCATGACTGAAATTCTTAAAACATAGATGTTCTTCCTCACCTTAACAGGGACTCGCAGAGGGGAGTTGATGGGTAGGTAGAGTGTGGACTGGAAGCGTTCGTCCTGCCTCTCAGCAGTTTTACACTTGGGTGCCAAGTGGGTGAATGGGTCACTGGGCAGCCGGGCACAGTACCTGAGCACCAGAGCAACGAAGACATTCAGAAGGTGTGGCCGTGGAAAACTAACATACATGACTGAAGGAACTCTTTTGACCTGAGGGAGCACCATGGAGTTGAAGAAAGAAAATGTTGATCATGAAAACGTTGGTGGGGTTATTGCAATGTAATGAAATGAGTTAGAGCGTAGTAGCCCATGTGACCTTTAAGATTCTAATTACTGTAACATCTGTATATTCAACAGTTGTAATGACTATGTTTTCTATTTACTTGCATAATCATTTGATGGTGTACTGTATTTGCTGCCTAGAATGACCATTTTATTCATATATAATAATTCTTATAATTGGATAAAGCTGATTCATGAGTGAACATGTTTTGTCCTTAATGAATTGAGGATTTAAAGACTTTGCAGTATGGAGTGGCTGATGTATCGAGATGTTGGCTTGTTCTCCAGAAGATGTAGCACATGACTGTATCACATATATCGAGCACAAGCCGTCTCGTTTTAAAGCCACCAGTGGGCAGCATGAGGCTCCGGTTGCTGTTATATATATATATATACACACATATATAACAGTGATGGAAGGGGTCTGTCTAACTAACCCCTATGTCAGTGATTCTCAACTGGTGGGTCGCGGGCCTTTGCCTGAAAAAAATAAAAATCTTGTGCTTTTATTCTGAAGGGGATTTTTTATGCAGCAGAGTTATTCACACACTGTAACAGTATTTGACGTTAATGCCTTGTAATGCTAATAGACTCCCGCAACATCATGTATCGAACAGGGGTCACTAACTGGCGCACCGCGGTTGTTTCCGGACCCAGGACCTAAAACCTACAAATAGTTGAGAATTATTACATTTTGATGTAGCGCTTCTATTTCACCCGGCGCAGTTTATCCAGCATTTACGGCACTTGTTCAGCGGTGCAGGAAACACTCCGACCAATGCGTTGTAAATCACATCAGGTTATGCAGCTCAGCCAATCAAATATGGGTATTCTGACAAGTGTCCTGACTCGTGTGAGATGTACACACACCGTGACACGCGGGGGAGAGACGAGGAAAGAGATCGCAGAGCAGGACAAATTATAATGTTAGGTGTGAAAGTCAAACCACAAGACATCCTCCAGAAGAGAAAAATGACCAGAGAGACCTACGTCTTTGTCCGAGACTGGACAGACTTGTATAGGTGAATTCATCCCAGCTTAAAATATGTCCTATATGGAGCAAACGTACCCACTCACATCTAAATGAAGACACAGAAAATAACCCGAGAGTCCAGTGTGATCAGAATCCTAACGCATAAGTTCACTGTCCAACAATGATGTTACCAGAGAGAATAGAGCTGAAACAAGTGTTAATAACCACAGATAAAGTCCATGCTCACTAGTTTATCTTTTTAGAAGATGAGAAAAATATAATATTGTGGCTTTTTGATTGACATCAAAAATTGGCGGGGCGACTGTGGCTAAGGGGGTAGCAGGGCCGCCTTTCAATCAGAGGGTCGGTGGTTCAATACCCGGCTCCGGCTCTGCTGGTCGCATGTCGATGTGTCCTTGAGCAAGACACTTAACCCCAAAATTGCTCCCGTAGTTGTGCCTACGGTGTAGAAATGTGATAGACTCTGAATTGTAAGTCGCTTTGGATAAAAGCGTCTGCTAAATGACTGTAATGTAATGACACCACTTCACACCTGAATATACAGGTGCTGGTCATATAATTAGAATATCATCAAAAAGTTGATTTATTTCACTAATTCCATTCAAAAAGTGAAACTTGTCTATTATATTCATTCATTACACACAGACTGATATATTTCAAATGTTTATTTCTTTTAATTTTGATGATTATAACTGACAACTAAGGAAAATCCCAAATTCAGTATCTCAGAAAATTAGAATATTACTTAAGACCAATACAAAGAAAGGATTTTTAGAAATCTTGGCCAACTGAAAAGTATGAACATGAAAAGTATGAGCATGTACAGCACTCAATACTTAGTTGGGGATCCTTTTGCCTGAATTACTGCAGCAATGCGGCGTGGCATGGAGTCGATCAGTCTGTGGCACTGCTCAGGTGTTATGAGAGCCCAGGTTGCTCTGATAGTGGCCTTCAGCTCTTCCGCATTGTTGGGTCTGGCAAACTCAGGCGAGTTTGCTGGCCAATTACGAACAGGGATACCATGGTCCTTAAACCAGGTACTGGTTGCTTTGGCACTGTGTGCAGGTGCCAAGTCCTGTTGGAAAATGAAATCTGCATCTCCATAAAGTTGGTCAGCAGCAGGAAGCATGAAGTGCTCTAAAACTTCCTGGTATACGGCTGTATTGACCTTGGACCTCAGAAAACACAGTGGACCAACACCAGCAGATGACATGGCACCCCAAGCCATCACTGACTGTGGAAACTTTACACTGGACCTCAAGCAACGTGGATTGTGTGTCTCTCCTCTCTTCCTCCAGACTCTGGGACCCTGATTTCCAAAGGAAATGCAAAATTTACTTTCATCAGAGAACATAACTTTGGACCACTCAGCAGCAGTCCAGTCCTTTTTGTCTTTAGCCCAGGTGAGACGCTTCTGACGCTGTCTGTTGTTCAAGAGTGG